CGACCAGGGAGCGACTTTCCTTCACTTCCCCGCTCGTCTCCTCTGCCACTTGTGTTCACTGCAGAGCGTTCTGCAGTTCCATGTGGTTTCTGCTTTTTTTCACTTGCTGGTAAAAAGAAAAAAAGCAGAGGTGCTGTGGGCACCCACCGGGCTTGGGAGAGCCCGTGGGCGGCCCACGGAGCTTTTGGAAAGCAGAGCCGCACGCCAGGGGCGGCGTCTGCGGGAAGGACCCACACTCGTTTCTCAGAGCAGATTGGGCCCGATCTCAGCGTGGAAGGAAACGCGAGGTGGGCACTAGCCCACGTCCTCAGAAGCAGCTGCGTGTGGATTTCCTGTCGTCCCTGGGTTTCGGGCGCTGGGCCCTGGTTTCTCATCCCCAGGTCGGGACTCAGGTGTGCCGGGGTGAATAGGGACACGCCACTATGTCACGTCCGTTGACCCTTCGCCACGGCACCCTAAGGTGGGTCGGGGGTTGCCTGTCTCCCCGACGAGGTGTGCACGCAGAGTGATCAAGTAGCGTGTGCGTGTAGGCCCGTGGCAGCGAGATGGGGAGATCTGGAGAGACACCCAGCTCCGTAGCTCCTTAGCGCTATAGCCGCTCTTCTGCACGGAAGGGCCATGTTGCGTATGGACAGGGGACGCCCCTTTGTCACCTGGGCGCTCACCACCAGGTCCTGCCAGTTCATGCCAGTCCTGCATCTCAACCCACTGGTGCTGGTGAAGTTTGCTAGGATGAGTACATCCAGGACAGGCTGATTTGGATGAGCTCCATGGACACTGTCACCCCTCCCAAGCACGCAATGACCTTTGCTCTCCTAGTTGACAGGTGACACTGCCAGGAAAGGCACCGCGCTGAGTCTCCCGAACAGGTAGCTGTTCTCGCTGCTGCCCAGGTGAGCACGTGGCGGCAAAGCCCTCCTGGAGCGTGAAGGAGCCATTTCCGGGCCCCTCCAAATGAAAGTGGTTGCCCGCCCTCCTCCTCCAGCCATGCCGAGGTCTGGCCATGCTGGCCAGACACACGAGGAGACTGTAGTAACTTTTCCTGGGTACCCCCCATGTTGCCCAGGAGCTGAGCCGCATAGGCCCCAGCCAGGGGTGCGGGCTGCAGCACCCCCACTCTGCTAGACCCTCTCTGCACACAGCAGGGGCAAGCCAGCTACCTGCGTCCTCAGCTGTGCCCGCTGACTTAGGGCTTCTCCTTTCCTGCTTGATTTTCCATTTGCCAAATGGGGCTTCTGGAAACGATGCCATAAGAAATGGCAGGATTTGAACCCAGGCAGCCCGATTGCATCCCAGGTGACAATCCCAGAGAGAGCACTCATGTGCCAGGGGCCCCATGGACCCCATGCAGAGTTCAGAGGTCCAGCCCAGGTCATCTCAGAGGTGCGACTGCTGTCTCTGAAGGCACCCCCAATGGACTGGCCTGAGAGGGCAGCACCTTGAGCCAGGCCTCCTTTCTGCTAGCAAACAGTAGCAATAACGCCGTGTTTCGTTGCTGCTACTTGAGGGATGGACTCACCCGTGGTAGACTCTGGCCACACACATTCCAGGAATATAACTCTCTCGACCAGTGCTAAGAGAAATGGCTCTCCACCAGCCCCCTTCACTGGAAGAGAAGAGCAGAGAGGAGGGGATGTGAGTGAGTGGCAGCGTGAAGGAAGCAATGGAAGGACAAGGTTTAACCCAGAGCATGCCGGGACAGTCCTTTGCTAAGGCCTGCCTTTGGCTGTGGCGACCCGGATTTCTCCAAGTGAAAATGCAGCTTGCAGTCTCCCCCATTCCTAGCCAGTGGGGGGGGTCTTCACTGCAAGGGTCAGCTTTCAGGGATAGTAGCCGATTTCTCCAGTGGGTGTCCCACAATCGAAGGATTACTTAAAATAAATGCTGGCATTACTGATAGGCACGTGGGTGTAGCCAAGGCGGTTCCTGTCTGCATCAGGGAGGATCCAGACTGGGGCAAAGGCCCGTGGGCTCTGTCGTCTGTTGGATCGAGGCCGCGCCGGGCAGAGGGCGGGCTTGTTGGCCATGATCAGAAGTGTCTGCAGACCGCCGTCCTCCTCCCCAAGCCGGATAGCGGCACTGTGTGTGTGTGGGGGGGGGGGGCGGGGGGCGAGGCCAGCATGAGAAGCAGAAGCTGGAACACAAGAGGTCTCGGAGCCCAGTTAAGAAACTGAAATTGTGTCCAGCAGGCAGTGGGAGCCGCTGAAGGTTTGAGAGCTCTGACAGCTTATGGAGACTGAAGCATTCCGGCCGACCGTGGGGCCACTTTCTCACCTCGTCAGAGAGCCAGGGCCCAGTTGGAATTGCACAGATACCGCTGAAATATAACAATCCCCACCCAAATCAGGTTCCTTGTTGGGGAAGGGGGCTCTCAAAGCTTTGTAACTCACTCAGAAATCACACGCAGTTTCTCCCCTCGACGGAATATTGGGGGGCTGATGTCAGGAGATGGGTAGTCACTCAGCACGGCGAGGAAGTCGCTGTCCAGTCCTGGGAAAGCAGAGGCCAAGGGGGGGTCTTACTCGCAAGGAGGGGCAGGTCGCAGCTGCACACCCCTAAGTTGAGAACCAACTCCCAGCATCCCCTCTGTGGTCAGGGCTGGTACCCACCCGGAGCATCCAGGGGAGTGGCCCTCTCCTAGTCTCACGCTGGCCTTGACCTGAGGTGCCCCTGAAAAAGGGGGTCCAGGGGACCTAGAGCTACCCTCACCCACTCTGACTGCAAGGTATGCCCCTGGCTATGGCATGATGCGATCTGGGGCAAGTTCCAGAATGCCCAAGAGACCAACACCCCTTTGTCAGCTGGGGACAGCGGGATGCCACTGCAGGGTCCTCATGAGGTGAGGCGAAGTGGGCAGCGACACCTGGTGAGAGAGGAGCGGTCAGCGACGTCCCTCCCCACTGCCGCTGCCCCTGCCCTCCGGCCCCTGCGGGCACCACCTGCAATGTGTGTGTGGTGGACGTCAGGAGTCGGGCTCCCTGGGGCCAGAGGGCACCACAGAGCATTCGCTCCCTGTAGAGCACAAGGCTCCATGTTAGCGGGACTTTGGGGAGGCGAGAAGGAGACAAGTGCTTGTTAGGTGGGGCCGGAGGATCGCACCGGCGAGGTTTTGGGAAGGAACCACGCTGTCTGCTCCGCGTGAGCGCAGCTCACTGCAGAGAAGCAGCCACAAAGGTGAACTTGCTTTTGGTCACTGAGCAGAAGCCTTTGTCACTGCCTCAGTGATTTGCGAGAGGGTACACTGGCTGTGAGGGAACATTGGGGTGCACTTGGCGGGAAATAATATGCCTCATACACCTGTTACGACATTTTTTACGCCATCTGCTGGCTGGGCATCTGGACTCAGCCTTCTGGGGAACGCGTCATTGAGTGACTCATTCCGTAATTATTTACTGAACACCCACCACCAGCCAAGCAAGGGGAAAGCAAGTCAGGATTTCTGAGAATGCGAATATTCTAGGGAACACAAGCATAGCCCCCAGGGGGAAGAGGGGCACTCCCCTTCCCACCACCCCAGGAAGGCCAGGGACAGCCTGACCCTGCAGACTTGGTGACACTCCCGGCGGGCCCTGGGCCTGCACCTTCCCGCTGGAGAGTCCTGCTCCCAACCCGCACCGCCCCCCCGGGCTGAGGGAGGGCTAGGTGGAAAGAGAGTGGGAGCTTGGGCCAAGGGTTTGGTCCCCGACTGACAGAGGACCCAGAAAGTGGCTGTCACCATGGAACAGGGCATGCAAATGTCTTGCTCACTGTGGGAACTGAGTCACAGAGCGAGCTGGAGAGGTGCCCGCGTGACTCTGTGCCCTGGGGTCATGGCCCAGGGCAAGGGTCGAGCTGTCCCTGGGGACCTGCCGAATGAAAAAAGGGGTTCGCCCCCACCCCACCCCCATCATTAGCGGCAGCGTGTAGTGTGTGCTGGGCTTGAAGCCAGAAGTCCCCAGATCTAGTAAGGGACAGCCCTGATGTGGGCATGAAATGCGTGCAAATGCGGAGGTGAAGGGCCTGAACCAGCCATGCAGAGGTGGGTGCCCGCCCGAGGGAGGCGCGGAGTCCCGAGGGGCCTGGCAAGTGGGGCGTTCAGTTTTCCTGGAAATCAGCCTGACTCCCCGCCGGCCGCCTTCGCCACGCTGCGCACAGGCCCTCTCTGCCCTGCGCTGGGCCAGGCTGGGAAATGGGAGCTGGGGAAGCCTCCCTGATGTGGTCTGGACAGCTGGCCCCCAAAAAGGGCCCTTTATGCGCTGCACGGCCTCGGAGCCAAACAGCCTTGTGGTTCCTCGATTTGCTGGGGCCGCTCCGAGCCGGAGCACACGCTGCCCCGCCCTCCTCTCCCGAGCTCACCTCCAGCCGCTCCAGGCAGCGCCGAGGCAGCACTGAAAACATCGCGCTGGGCTTTGCTTAATGTAGTGGCCTTTTCGGGGTCCCATGCAGGGGACTCCAGGACCACCCCCCTCGCCCTTATCACTAGAGGCAGGAAAACTGAGGTACGAGTTTGGTGTGTGTTTCGGGTGGGAGAGCAGGGGCCTGCAGCCATCTAAACAGTCTTCTAATTTGGGGTCCCGCTCACGCTCCCCTGAGTCTTGGGTCTGACCGTGACATAGACTCAGGGTAGGGAATTCAGTTGCTCCTAAATTTCAAATATATCGTGTGCTGGAGCCGCCTCACTCTGAGGGGAGCTGAGCTTTTGAATTAATCAAAAGTGGAGGAGACCTTTGCTGAGGAGTCGGGGGGATTACTGGCGGCCTAAGATAAGGCAACAAATTAAGTCAGGAGGTGGTTGCTGGGCATGAAGGGAGAAAGCTGGGCTTTTGGCAGAGAGAGTGGCTTGGAAATCAGTCAATCCGCCTCACGCTCTGGGCTAGGACTCCCCGTGCCGCGGAGGCCTGGGCCTGTCTCACTAAGTGGCAGCTCTGATTATTTTTAGGGGACGAGCGGGGTTCTCATGCATGCTCCAAGACCACTTTCAGCCCAGCGTGTCCTCCATTTTGAAACGTCTCTGGGAGTAGAGATCTGAAAATATAATTATCTTCCAAAGACAAGTTCTTCTGGTGAAACAGAAGCTGGAATTCAAAAGATCAAATCTTTGTTGATAGCAGCTGTGAGTCAGATTGAACCAACTCAAAAGTGAGTCAAATTGAACATAATGTACAAAAAGTATCAAACAGGAAGTGAGTCCAAAAAAGAAAGGGGAGACCCAGGCTGAACCCACTAGCCACAATATTACTGTCAGAAGAGCACGGCTCTTCCTAAGAGCACCTCTTGGGTCCCTGTCAGAAGCCGGCCCTTTCCGCCAGCCCCTTCCAGCTCTGAGGCGCTCCCCGACCTGCAGAACGCACCTCCTGTCTGCGGGGTCGGGGGACCAAGGCCGGGCTTTCTGTAACGTGTCCAGAACTGGCCAAGAGCGGCCAAGGTCAAGGTCACGCCTCTAAGCCAAATCGCTCCCCGTGGCTCTGAAGTACCAGGCTTCCCCCCGCTGACTCTTGATCCCTAGCAGGCGGGCTCAAAGGAGGCTTAGTTGGGGTGAGGGAACCCCCTCTGACAGGCCGGGGACGCTGCCCGCCAAGTGCTCGGTCCCCCCCGACCACAGCTGCTGTGGGTCCTGTCTTGTGGGCTGGTGGGTGAGGGGAGGCGGTGCAGGAAGCTCTTGCTGAAAGAGCTTCTCGGTCTCGCCATCTGTTAGGTGGGGCAGGCTGGGACTGAGTAGACCCCAGGTTCTGAGAGGGCACAGTGAGGTGGACCCGGTGGGAGCTCCCTGGAGGTGCCCCAGGCCCCGACGCCAGAGCCGCGACCTCTCGGCAGGATATGAAGACGCCCTGCCCCGTCTCCTGCCAGCTGAGCCGTGCCCAGGCACTGAGAAAAAGCTTTACTGCCTTTTTTTACTTCTGAGCAACGTGAAACCGTGGGCTGATGGACTGACTATTTATGGGGCTGATTATAGGTCATTCGCAGATGCACCCCTGGTAGAAAAGTAGAATGACCACGTTCCCTGGAAGGCAGTTTCTGCGCCTGAGTGAGTCAGGCGGGGGACGTGGACACATCACGGGGCCGAAGTACATCCTGCTAATGTCCCACTCGGGCTCTGCGTGTCTGTCACTAAGTCTGGTAGCCTCGTCTCTGGGGGAGGGAGCGCCTGCCCCGTCTGAGGACTCCGGGTCTCTCGGAAGCCTGTCCCCCTCAGGCATGTGGTGTGGGGTCAAGAGCCCCAGGCCGCCTGGCTTGCAGTCCCAGCTGCCCGCCGCCCCCGCCATGGAGCCTCAGGCAAGTAATGGGACCGCCTTGTGCCTCAGTTTCCTCACTGCAAAGTGGAGGTGCTGATAGAGATGGCCCCTGCAGCTGTTGCGAGTTGAGTTCATACGTGAGAAACACATGGGTGTGAGCCCCCCACTGTCGGTGGCCTGTCACCCCGGGTCTCCCAGGTGATAATGGGAGACACTGACCTTTCTCAGCTTCTGCGTACTCGGGTAGAGCAGAACCGAAAGCTCGGTTGTGCGGCAGGCCGGCTCTCAAGATTCATCAGGCCTGTGGCTGCCACCCTCCATCACCCCAATTCTCATGAAAAGGCCTGGGGTGCTGCCCTAGAAACTGCAATATTGACCACTTTCCTGGGGCTTCTGCCGAGGAGCACACGGCTCCCCGAGAAGACGTGTCCCAGCACGGTCCTGCCTGCCGTCTTGCCCCGGGGCAGCCCCTGGCCTCACTGCTGGGTAAATGCCCTGATCGCCCAGCTTCCATCCTGCACAGAAAGGGGTCTGACAGCTTTGAGCTCGCAGCACCACCTCTGGTGGCGAGATCTCACTTTAGGTGAGATGATAAAAAGGCAACGAGCCCAGGGAACAAGGTCACAGCACTGTGGCTGAACTCTTTGCTGAGAGGGAGAGATGGGTCCCCGGCCAGGAACCCCAGCTCTTGGCCTGTTCTGTGTGGGACTCTGGCACATCACGTCTGTCAGTGTGTGTAACCTAGTAGAGAAAATGAACTATTCTGGGTGATGTGGAAACAAGTCTCAGAATTGCCCCTTCTACCACTGTTAAAACTTTTGGGGTGGGGGTGACCCTTGAGACGTAGCCTAGGGCAGCCAGCGGCCTCAGTTTAAAAGAGTTTAAAGGAGTGATGACTAGAAAGGGGTTTGGATTTACCTTAACACGTTAATAACAAAAATGTGTGACCCCCCAGCTGTCTGGGCGTGTATTCACGGGACATGAAAACAGCAACACAGAGGCCTCCACGCCCTCCACACCCCCAGGCCAGGGTCTGGGGCAGCCCTGGCTGCAGGCAGGACTGAGAACTCGGGGCTGTCCTCACAGGAGGACCGTGCACCCCTGGGACACGGTTCAGCCCCACTGGCGCTAACTCGGGGGAGTTTGAGGAAATTCTGTAGAGGGAATCAGGTCAGGATGACACAGATAAATAGTGGATATTTAGCACATCAGTGGCCATAGTAAAATACTTACAGGAAAGGAAGACTTCAGGAAAGGAAGTGAGGTTTCTGGGGTAAGTGGAGGGGGAGAGAGAAAGGGCTGTGGGACGCACTCAGACACCACGTAGTCAGAGTCACAAGGCCACGGTGTGCGGCTCGGGGCCGGGCGGACTGTCTCCGGCTGCTCCCATCTGCACTACACGGCCGCTTCCCCTCTCGGGGGCCGGCAGACCCCTAGGTCAGAGGTCCCCCGGGTGGCTACATGGAAACCCAACAGGCCGTTTGCCTCTGGACCTGCCCCACCTGCATCAAGTCCTGCTGCCTCTGGGCACCAGACTAACCAGGAAGGTTCTGGAGAGTTTCATTTAGGAGGAAAAGGAAGAGCCACATTCCCAGCGCTGGTTTGGGGGCAGCCTCAAAGCCCACCAAACGTCACTTGTCTGGCAGCGCAGAGGTGGGCCTCATGGGCCCCGTGCAGAACGGGGGGCTGGGGCCTTTCCGGCTCCACCACCAGCCTGACACGGGGGGCTGACGCGCTCAGGCCCAGGCAGCCGGCTGCCCCACCCCTGCGTGCTCAGGGTCGACCAGATGTGGGTGCAGGCACCTGAGCCAAAGGGCGGAGGTGGGTTGGGTAGTGGAAAGGCCACCCCCAGCGCTTGATGTGGTTGCCTGGATCACCCAGGGGTACAGCACGGGGAATTCTCCTAACCCGGGGGCGGAGGGGTGGGGAGACCCCACGACCTCCTTTCTAGAGGTGACCTCCCACCCACGCGGTGGAAAAAGAACAGCTTCTTGCATGACGATTCGCACTGAAAAAATAAAGGCAAATGAGCCACTCCTGGGAGCCACATGTTCTCCTGGTTTGCTCAAGCACAGCCCCTGGGGGCCAGCTCAGAGGCGACCAGGCCCCCGGGGGGCCGTGGCGGCTGCTCCGGAGCCGGCCTGGACCCGGGGCTCACAGGTCTGCGTTCCCGAGTCAGCCGTGACTGGAGGGGTGGGGGCAGGCGGCGGCTGGAGTTAGTTTGGAGAGGGGACCCGGGGCTCCCTCCCTGGGGCAGAGCAGCTTTCTGTCTCGCTGCACACAGGCTCTGGGTGTTGTGTGGGAGGTAAAGGGCCAGACTTCTTGGGGACCCCAAGAATTCACACCCGGCTCCACCTTATCGCTTGATCCCATCTTTGTCCTGGGGGAACACGCTTTTTGACTTTCCTCTGAGGTTTGGGGAGGGGAGGTGACTGGACCAGAAAGGAGGGCTCTAGATTCTCCCCAACTTAGGACTTGAGTGGGAGCAAGGCCTTGAGTGTTCAGTTGGGGTATCAGAAGGGCCCCGAGACTGCCCATCACCTGGAGTCTCTATTTTGCAAGACGGAGAAGGAGGCGGCTCCTTTGTTAAGGGGCCACAGGGGCGTGGAGTGAGGCGGGGCGGGGCCCAGCTCTGTCCACTGTCGTGCTGAGTGCTAGCTGGATGGGTGTCGTGCCTGTGAGCCTGCCCCGTTCAAGGGCTGAGGAACCAGGCATGCCGCCTCCGCGGTGATGTAAGGAGGGAGCAGATGGCCCCAATAGTCGCCCCTGACCTCCTGAACTCCCCTGAACGCCCCTCCTCTGCCTCCAGGACAAAACAGAGTGCCCTTCGCCCCGGCTTGGAACTAAGAGTGAGGGCGTGGGGAGCAAACCCAGCCTGAGCCGCGAGCGAGGTGCTGGCTCTCAGCCGTCGCCTCCTGCTTGCCGACATGCTGGTGAGAGCCCTGGCCGCTGGCTGAGGACGCTGCAGCTGGGAGCCAGCTCAGCGACTCTGGGGACGCTGACCTTTGTCATCCTTGGCGAACCCATCCCCTGCAGCACCAGGCCTGCTGTCCTGCCCACTCGCAAGGCTACTCTGGGCAGCCCACTGCTCCCCAGGCGACGGTGTTCAGAGAATGCGCGTCTCTGCTTCTTTTATGTAAGGATCCCCTTCTTCCCAAAGGCCTCTGGGTGCTAGCGCCTAGCGTCCTCAAGGGACACAGAGAGCTCCCTTGCTGAGCACATGTTTCCCATAGCAACAGCACGTCGCGGCTGGCGGGGCAGCTTTGGTACCCAGAACCCTCGCTTTCAGAATCAGTCAGACCAGGGTGCTCACAGCCACTGATGGCCGTGTCCTCTGGGGGCCTCAGTGTCCCCATCTAGAAAACAAAGACATTGAACCCGCTGCTCTTGAAGGCCTGTCCCCCAATGCCCGTCTTTGTGTGACCCCAGGGCACACTGCTTCCTCAGCGTTGAGTTGTGAACACATGAACCACCAAGCAGGCGAGAAAGATGACCGGGCCCGCTTCAGTGCCCACCGCCCTGTCTCAGCAATGACCGGCGACCCCGCGGTCCCCCCTCCTGCGTGGGGGTGTCGCCTGGACCCGGACTTACCCTCTGGGCTGGGCAGGGGCCTCTCAGGGGGCGCTGGGGTGGATCTCATGCTGTTCCCCATTCCTCTCTCTGCCTGGACCGTCGAAGTCGCTCGAAGCCTACGGCACAGGACACACACTGCAGAGTCAGCCACGCACCGAGCCCGCTGCGGGGAGAGTGACCTAGTTTAGGGTACATGGCGCATCATTTCACGGCCGCTCGCTTCTTGCCAGGAGGGCGTGTGCAGTGCAGATGAGATG